AGCAGGAAAAAGGCCTTTGCAGACCCAAATGAGGCCCTGCCGTACAATATCTCGGTAGTAGCCACTATTAGATGAGATGGGCAAAAAGAACATGCGACTAGTGATTGACTTTCGCAAACTCAATGAGCGAACGGTGTCTGACAAGTACCCATGCCAAATATCTCCATGATATTGGGAAACTTGGGCAAGGCCAAATATTTCACGACATTGGACCTTAAGTCACGATATCACCAAATCATGCTCGCAGAACGCGACCGTGAAAAAACCTCCTTTTCAGTAAATGGAGAAAAATATGAATTCCGAAGACTATCTTTTGGCCTGAAAAATGCAGCCAGCATATTTCAGAGGACAATCGATGGCATTTTACGCGAGCAAATCGGCAAGTTTTGTTACGTATATGAGGATGATGTAATTATCTTTTCGGAAGACGAGGAAGCCCACATCAAGCACGTAGATTGGGTGTTAAAGAGTCTTCACGAAGCCAACATGAGAGTGTCAGTAGAAAAATCGCGTTTCTTCAAAAAAAGCGTAAGTTTTCTCGGATACATAGTCACCAGCAGCGGTGCAACGACCGACCCAGAGAAGATCAAATCCATCCAAGACTTCCCGGAACCAAAATCCGTATTTGAAGTCAGATCATTCCTCGGCCTGGCGAGCTACTACAGGTGTTTTATAAAGGATTTTGCGGCAATAGCAAGACCCATTTCAGACATCCTAAAAGGGGAAAATGGAAGTGTTAGTAGGCATAGGTCACGTAACATTCCGGTACAGTTTTCTGATACGCAGCAAAGAGCTACAAGAAGGCGTTTGATCTAACGACGGACGCTTCTGCCTTTGGTATTGGTGCAGTCCTATCTCAAGAAGGACGCCCCATCACAATGATTTCAAGGACGTTAAAAGACAGAGAAATCAATTACGCCACAAATGAGAGGGATTTACTAGCCATCGTTTGGGCCTTGGCCAAATTACGGCACTACCTATACGCGGTAAAAGATATAAATATCTTTACTGACCACCAGCCACTAACTTTCGCAGTATCGGAATCCAATCCGAATGCAAAAATCAAAAGGTGGAAAGCTCGCATTGACGAGTCTGGCGCGCGTATTTACTACAAACCTGGAAAGGAGAATCTCGTTGCCGATGCACTTTCTCGGCAACAACTAAATGTCATAGGGAAACGGGAGGCCGAATCCGCATGCGCAGCCACTATACACAGTGAACTCTCCCTGACCCTTGCAATAGAAACAAAGGATAAGCCTTTGAACTGCTTCCAAAACCAAAAAACTTTGGAGGAGGCACGCTTCCCGTTAAAACGCACCTTCGTCCTCTTCGGAAACAAGAGGAGATATGCGATCAATGTTTCCTGCAAAGAGTCATTACTTGAAGAGCTCGCAGATGTAGTTGTTCCTTAAGGCGTAAACGCCATCCATTGCGACTTACACCCGCTCGCAATGATACAGGTAACAGACATTTTTGCGGTCAGCGAAAGAAGGGAAATTCTCGCGGCTGAACATAATAGGGCCCATAGAGCTGAACAAGAAAACGTGAAGCAGGTGCTCACCGAGTACTACTTCCCGAAAATGGCTAAGTTAGCCAGCGAAATTGTTACTAACTGCAAAATGTGCGCCAGGGCTAAATATGAAGGGCACCCGAAGAAGCAAGAGTTGGGCGAAACTCCGATCCCTTCTCATAAGGGAGAAATGTTACATATAGACATTTTTTCCACAGATAAAAAATAGTTCCTCACCTGTATAGACAAATTCTCAAAGTTTGCTGTGGTGCAAAAGGTTGCCTCCAGGACAATAGAGGATTTAAAAATGGCCTTACTACAGCTCATGAATTTCTTCCCAGAAGCGAAGACAATTTACTGCGACAATGAAAGGCATAAGTGACACCGTTGAGGTAATCCTACTAGCCACCTCCAAGTATAACAAATCAATCCACTCGGTCATCAACAAGAAGCCAGCCGACGTTATACAGAATGAGAATGAAGACATGCAACGAGACGTTTGCGACAAAATTAAAAGTGCCCAGAACGCGCTCAGAGCCAGGGAAAACGTTTCGCGTCAGAACAGGGTTTTCGAAGTTGGCGACAAAGTCTTGGTGAAATCCAACAGGGGACTTGGCAACAAGCTCACACCATTGTGTGAAGAAAAAGCTGTTGAAGCGGACAAGGGGACCACAGTCCTCATTAAGGGGAGGGTGGTCCATAAAGACAACCTTAGGTAGGCGTATCACAACCTTGTCGTCGCTCGCCAGATAGTCCCTATACTTTTATATTTTTTTTATTTTCATACTTTTATGTTTTTACACTTTTGTATTTTTATATTACTAGCCACTCGGCATAAGCTTTTTGACCCCTTTTAATCTTAGTAAAGATCACTCTTTATACGTTGGTGGTGGGCTACCCCATTTACAGACATAATAATTTATCCTCCTGTTGACCATGACATTGGCACACGTGATGGACTACTCCCAGGCGAAATACATTCCCATCGTAGATGGTCACATTTTAGTATGGGAGGAATATGCATTCGTAGGGCACACTGCGAATCTGTCGGAATATAGACGAGTGGTAGAGGAAACTGATGGCATGACCAACATGTTCCCTCAATCACACATGCAGAAACTCTTGGTCGTCGACATCGCTCATCTGCGCGACCTGCTCGACTCGTTAAGCATCCACCATAGAGTAGCTAGGAGCTTAGACTTTCTGGGAACAGCGTTAAAAGTAGTTGCAGGGACACCAGATGCGGATGATTTTGAAAAAATTAAATTCATGGAATTCCAATTAACCAATGCAAACAATAGGCAAATATATATCAACAATAAGGTAGAAGACCAAATTAACAAAATTTCATTCTGAGGTCAGCTAAAAAATCCCAAATTGACACGGGACACCTGTACGAGATGTTATTATCTCGAAATAGGATGATTGCAATGGAGCTGCAAAATTTAGTACTGGCAATAGCTCTTGCTGAGGTTAATGTTGTAAGTCCAAGCATATTAGAGCATGCAGACCTGGAAGATGTGTGGATGGAGGAGCCAACCGATCCTCCTATTAAGGATGTTTTGTCCGTTGCGTCCGTTAAAATCTTACAGTCCGTTAACATTTTGCATTTTATTATCAAATTTCCAAAAATTAAGGCAGCATGTAATAAAGTTACAATTTTTCCCGTTTCGCATTACAACACGATGCTATGGCTAGTAGAGAACGTAGTGGCAGAGAGTTCCACACGGTGAAGAATTGTTCCACAACACCAGGGGCTACGTTTTGCCAGCTGGCGCTAAGAAGTTCATGCGCTCAAGAACTCCATGCTGGAGGCATAGCGCATTGCGAGATCCAGCAAAGCGACTTGCAGCCTATCACCTACGTTGACGAAGGGATTATCATCGTAAACGATCGACCGGCTCACGTGAGTGTGGACAATGGCACCTTTGCTACCATACGAGACACACACCTCATCACCTTTACCGAATGTGCTACAGTTAACGAAACCCGATATGTCAATCATGACGCAGCCCAGAAAAGGGCTCCGGGAGTAGCCAGATCGCCTTCCCTGAATATAGCGATGGAGCATAACGTCCTTAGCCTTCCATACCTTCACCGTTTGAGTGAGCGTAACCTGGAAAACATTAAAAGGTTCGAGGAGAACGTCAACAGCTATCGGACACATCAGATAGTGCTAATTGCGGGAGCAATGTGTTGCGCGTTAATTTGCGTCGGCTTAACCTATCGACGAGTCACCCAGGCCAATAAGTCGCCGGGCCAATTAAGAGAGGTGATCAACCAAATAGGGTCGGCCGAGGGCGGCCTTATTCCTGAGGGGGGAGTAGTTAACTAAGTCAGCCGAGCGGCGGCGATGACCGATCGTCAGAAAGCCAGCGCCGGCCAAAATGCTGACACAGCGTCTGGCCGGGCGCTCATGCATAGTCTGCAAACACAGTATATTAGCGTGGCCGCTATGAAGACCAATTTATGTTAGCTTTAAGTTCGGTTCTGTTTTGGATTTACTTAAATAAAGAGCTATCGCTCACAAACTTTCCACCGCAAATATATTATTTCCTTAATTATTATCACCGACTGATCTCTAGGCCAGCGGTGTCGGGGAACAGTATTTCCCCGCAACATAATAGCTCATCAGCAAGCAGTGGAGTTCTGGAACCACCTTCCTTAAAGTCGCACGGACACACTGAAGGAAGATAACTTATCATAATTTACATATATAAATGCTGCGCCCTCAGGAACAAAAAAGAAATAACGCTATAGTCTATTGTCGCGTCCTCTCCAATTTTAAAGTAATCATTTTGCTTCCAGAAATTGACGCAGCGTTACCTTTCATGGGGAAGAGCTTTATAGCTGATGGCGTCACTGCCCATGTGAGGCGTTAGATAGATGTGTAGATCAAGCAAATTTTAATATTATGGACGCCACAGTTTCCGGCGGTATGTGGGCGTTGCTGGATGGAAAACCACCTGGAGCTGAGGTGGCATCGTATGCGTATGCATAATCCTAACTTATAGTGTCCTAGATCCTAGCGATTTTGGTTTTTCGTGTTTTGTGGGCTTGGCCAGATGTGGAGAAAATAATACGCTTTGGGTCCATTATTTGAAACTACATGCTTTATCCCTACCTTCTATCACATATAGTAACCAACATCTCAGCGTTCTGGAGGAATCCGTGTGGACGTGGCTAGATAATTGAACCATTTTGTGATGCGCTGGGATCTCAAGATTATATATGATCTCTTATAATTCCAGAGACCAACTCGATTTCAGTTTAGTTGTTCCACCTCAGTCTGAGGTGGCATCCCTGAGTTCTCCACGAATTGAATTTTTCGTGATTTGTGTGCGAGGCAATTGGGATTAGGCATGCATGATTCTTGAAATGCCTATGAACACAAGTTTGTTTTAGCGACTTTCCAGGTCCACAAAACATGATAAACTAATAACACTTACATCTCGGATTAAGCATGCACATTCTATAAGCCTTTCGCGAATACGATTTAATGAATTTTAATGATCTGTTCAATTTGTAAAGACAGTTCACTATATAGTCACTGTGTAAAAATTACATATGTAATAAACCATAAACAATGTTAAAAATTGAGTAAATGATATTATACAATCAAAATGTGACATTGAGTTATCCGCTTAAAGCCTATTTATTATTTAATTTTTATCACATTTGGCCGTTGCAGCCAAAACAACTGTTGCAATGCTTCGACGACCATTTCATCAAAAACAGAACCATTTTGAACCAGCTTCCAATGGTTTTCCAATGGTGAGCTGCGAATATTTATCAGGCAATTTTGACTCAACTGGCAGTTGTTGTTCCGGTATTGCATTTTAAACCTATCTGCCCTAGCTTGTGAAGAAAACGCTTCGAGTTTTGGAAAGATGTGTGTTAATGGTAGACTAGAAACGACCTGGTGGCAGGAATACTCCACACTATTCAGACTTGTTTCTGCGCAGTACTTCCGCTCCAGTTTTAAAATTTCCTCTTGCAAATTTAAGACCAAGGGGGAGATTCTCTCATCAACAAAAGAAGTGTCTCCAGGTGCACTTGATGAGGATGTTTGATTAGATAGTGTGGAAGATATTGCCTGGGCCTCTGAGGCGGTATGAACTTCACGATGCCATATAGTTCCCGGTACTTGACTAGCTATAAAAAAAGCTCCAGCTAAGGTTATTACACTTGCTGCATAGCTCAGCGCCAGTACAGATACGCTGTTTACGAGGAATCTCGTCCATACAAAGGCAGGCAGCAACTGCACCAACTCACTGTAAGTTAGCCACCCTCTCCGCAAACCCTGCCGAGCGGCCAGCGAACGTTCGACAGTTGTTAATTTGTCAAAGAATTCCTCATTGGATATATATATATTCCATTCCTAAAAATAAGTTTTAATTAAAATTTACCAGACACTTGTATGTATTTACCATAGCAGAAAGAAACTCGAGCTCCATTTCTTTTAGTTTGTCTTCAGTCATGTTACCTTTATTAGCCCAGTCCTCAAGGTAAAACCGTTCGTCATGGCCTGCATAGAACTTTGTAGAAATCATCTGTAAATATTAAGGAAAATGTACCACTGATAAGTCAATACAACGTAAATTACAGATGGCCAGATAAGTTTGCCGTATCATAACAACCTCACAAGGCGTATTTTTAATACCAAAGGTAATTACGTCATTTAATCTTCTACATGAGTGAGCGCGCTCTAAGAATAGGAGCTTGATCAACAGGTGTTACTGATGACTCACCAGTGACACAACGAACAGTTCTTGTGGAGTGAATCGGAAGTTGTAGCCTGGGTCGATAATGTTTAACCGGTCTAGGTATATTAGCGCCATAATAAGGGAGCATGGCGTAGCCTGAACTTTTGCAGCAGCCACGTAGCTTAGACGATGCAAAGAGTGTCCGCGATGGGCCTCAGAAAACATCTCAGCTGCATACTCAGCAAAGGGCAAGGAGAGCTCCATGTCTTTCTCACCTGTTTCACCGCCATAGTAGAGGCTTTTTCTAATCCGATTAATAAACTCATCGTGCTTCATAACCTGCTAAAAAAACACATATACAAAACCGAAACAAATTTAGATTATTAGTTCGTACCTTTTTTTGAGAAACAATAAATTTTTGACGACCCATTTTATTTAAAGGTTCGTCTTAAATAAATATGCTCGTCGTAAATAAATCGATTTATCGATAATTTTAATTTCAATATAATAATGGTGTGGTATATTCACAATATAGCCAAATCCCAGTTTTCATTTGATTTAATTAAAAATACATATTTATTAACATAAAGATAGCAAGATATATTTATATGGACGATATGTCAAGTAACTCCACGCATTGAAATTATTATTGTTTGAATGCAGAATGAAACACATCACATTACATGATTTTAAATGTATTAAACAACGTATCGTAAATAATATGAAACTCGAGCATTAAGAATGGTACTTTTTGTTAAATTATATGTATGGCCTTAAGTGCTTAGTGATAAAAGAGCATCATTAATCAAATATTAAGCTTACACATGTTTGACACTGTCAAGATACTATTTACACACTCCCCTCTTACAATTATGGTTTAAGTGATAAATTGTGTTAAAGATGTAAGGAAAATCCTTAAACCTATTTAGAAAGCAATTAAAATATATGTAATTGCGTAATTGTCAACTGAACAAGTGAAAAAGAAGGGATAAACGTAGGTAAAATATATTTTAGTGACATAAAAGATAGTTGCTTTAAACAAGTAGCGGAAATATTTACCTCAAACCATAGCTCGCAAATAACTGTTAACCGTTTTTCCTCACGCTCTGCTTGCCAGAAGAACCGAAAAAAATCATGCAGTTTCGTTCTCTCTCAGAGCAGCAGACATTGTTTCTTTTTGTTTTGGTTTTCTTGTCAGCTCATTACTATGAGCTGATCTATGAGAACATCGCACAATAAGATATACGAGTGACGCTCGCACAGAGACTTATTAAAAGACCAATTGACTGCAAAAGTCACCGGAAAAAGTCTTTTCAACAATTTGTCTTACCTTTGCTGTTGTAGTATTTTAACATCCAATTCGTAAAAAATCTTTAAATTTTACACATGAATTTTTCATATTACAAATTAATATTTTGAATATTTTGATTAACAAATGAACAGTTTTCTTTTAAATTAATGCTTAGTTTTCAAATGGCGTGTCAAATTTTGTAGAGTGAGTACTGAACATTTTAATCCGCATACCTTATTTATTGTCAATTTAATCTATACATACATATATATAAATATGAATGTAATCATGTATGTCGGCTATAGACTCGTACACGACTGGACCGATTTTGATGACCTTTTTTTGTACGTGTTCAAGGGGGCTTGAAAATCGATCGAATATTGATTAAAGTTGGCAGCTCTGCTTATTTATAGTTGGCACCTCTAGCTCTGGGATTAAGGGAGCCCTTATTTGAAGAAGCATCTGTCTAGATACCGGATATTGTACTTATTAAATGTCAGTTTGAGAATAAAAATGGTGTGAGTAGTCTACGTGTTGGGGGAGATGGGCCGGTCGTAGACCGCCTGGAGGGGATTCCTGCCGTTGATGATGGGTGGTGCCTCCCTCGCGTTACTTGGGGCACCACATAGAGCTGTACACAATTCGATTTTTAAATCGATCTTTTTGGATGAGCAAACAAATCGATTCTTTATTTAGGGAATCGATGCATCAACAAGTTTGCTCACCAAATAAAATTTAAGTAACCGAAAAAAATTATTTTATAATAATTTAACTCAAGTAAACTAATAAAAATGTATGCCTTCCAGAATTAGTGTGTGTTAGTGTTGAGGAAACCAAAGAGAGATGGATAACTATCTTCGTTTTTCAAATAAATAATGTAGATTGTTGTCCGCGCCAAATGCAAAGTCACGGACCGCAGAGCATCCTTGAAACCCATAAAAGTAGACAAGCTTGTATTCATAAATAACAGCCCATGGATTTTAAATAAATAAACAGAAACATTGAAACATCAAATTAATTTTTTAACGAATTTTTTTTTGCTGTCCAGAAAAGATAACACATCATTTATGGAAAAAAGCATTATTCAAGTTTTTATAAAAAAGTTTTTCCTAAAATTATTTTTTGTTGTTATTTTTATTGGGCGATAAAAAAAAAATTGAATTGATTATTTTGAGCACATTTATTTATAAAACGGTTACGTTGCATTATAAAAATTAATTTTTTTTAAGTTTATTTTTTTTTGCAATTCATCTTTCTATAAAGATTTTTTCAAACATTTTTTTTAAGTTTTTAGTTTTCTTTAATTTTTTGTACGTTTTGTAACTGACGAAAGCATTTGCTTCGAAAGAATATGCCTCCAAAGCGAAATGCAATTGGCCGTCATACACCTCAAGCGCAACCGAAAAGGGTATTTCGGAACTCAGAATCATACGAGAAACGAGCATTAGGGCTAGAAAGTCTTCAAATGCATGCCACTGAGAACCGTTCGTATGAATCACCTGAACGACGGGAAGTAAGGTTAGAAAGTTATCGAGTACGCGATGCTTAAAAAGTTGACTAATAGGAAGTGGCGGGTCTCCGCCATGGACGGTCCACAGGCCTGGGAGGGAGAGCTTCCGACGTGGGTGGCTGGGCTTTCGACGCTCTGGGGGCCGCTAAGGGGAAGGGGGACCGATCGTCTCCGTAATCCGCCAGTCACGCGAGTAGAGAGAATGTGTAGAGAGAAGCGGACCCTGGGGTCCGGTATGAGAGAGAATGAATTAAAACCCAATGGGTCTCTGGTATGAGAGATGTATTAGATTCAGCGCTAAGTCCTTCCAAATAGACTATTGCTGGTGAGGGTGCCCAACTGCGAGAGAGGGCTGATCTTATCTGATCAAGATCGACCGAAAAAGTCAGTTTTTCCAAGAAACCGGTCCTCCTTATATACCCCGTGGCTGGAATCAGTGTGACCGTTCCCGGAAACCCATTTTTGCGGAGTGACCGCTTGTCTGGCCCGGTAGTGTAACCGTCTGTTATCACCAAGACGCGCAATCGAATTCAAAACTATGTTTTTATTCTATAACATAAACTAGGCACTTCAGGTATCTCCTTATAACTAAAAAAAACATATAACTAAACAACTATATAACTATGGACTTCATAAATTTCCTTAACGCTATTCCTGACCTCTAATATTACTATTTATTTCCTAATTACTTATTTATATGTGCCCCCTGGGCGTCATACCGCTCCCTATCTTTGATAAGCCGGAGTTCGCGGGATGACCGTAATCCGGCGACCTCGCCCGAAGAGGACCTGCAGCGTCTTCTCACCATTGGGCAACAGAATGCTCCTCTGTTGCCCGAACCGTATCCCGGCCCACCGCTCCTTGATATACTCCCGGGTGGCCGCTAGCAGAACGACGTCTCCCGGTACGCTCCAAACGACGACCCGCATGTCCGGTTCCGCGCGTTAAGCGTCCAGTGGTGGTAGCTGGGCTCGGCTCCTCCCGCCGCTTTCGGACTGCTCGGCATTTCGGACTCCACGTTGTGTTCCCTTTCGGCACCAACAGGCTCTGCGGCTTGCCGAACTGCTTCCTCTTCCATCTTTCCCGGATATGCTCCACGATGGCGGGCAGGAGGACTACCCCTGTCGGCTCTGTCCACCCCAAGTCGTTTGTTGTCGTTGCCTCGACCTGGGATGGGCCCGCGGCTTCTCCACCCGGAACTCTCCGAGACGCAACATTGCAGCACGTCCCGGTCCGGAGAGTTCTCGTGGTCATCGCCGCTCGACCGTGAGGGGGTGGGTGCCTTTCCCTGCTCGGGACTTTCCGCTGGTGTGGTGCTCTCAGTCGCCGCGGGGTTTCGGTGTTCATCACCCGACGGTCTTCGTCTGCTGGACGTGTCGCACCTGGTTCCCACGCGTGTTGGGGCCGTCCGGATCCTTATCTCCGGCCCGGCGCCCTTCCCCGATATTATCTTGGCTGTTTTGGCTGCCTGCTGTAGCTGGGCGCTATGCTTCCTGAATCTCCTCTTTGACCTTTTGAATTTGTCCATTACGTCTGTAACGATGAGAACGGGAGGTGGATTATTAACGTTATTGGGTTTGGCTTCGGTGGAGTTAGTGGTATTATTATTGTGATATTGTTTTAAATCCCCCACGTACGCCCGTTTCGTCTTCGTTCCCCCACGTTTCTTTAATTCCGCGATTACCGGCGAGATGAAACTCCGCACCTCCTATGGCCCGTTGTATTTCGGCGCCAGCTCCGCGTTAAGCTTGTCTGCTGCGTTCGACAGGAAGTGTTTTCGGCACGACACCAATTGCCCTATGCTGGGCTTCCATGCCCTTTTCCGCAAATCGTAGTGCCGTTTCTTGATTTCCGCTGCGAACTCCATGTTCCTGTGTGCTTCCGACCTGGTCTCCTTCAGCCTTTCCCATTTGAAGAAAAATGACTCGATTGAAAGGCCGGAGCCTTCGGTGAGCTTGTCGTACAGCGCTCCTGGCAGATGCAACTCCTTTCCGTAGAGCAATTACGCCGCGCTACGACTAGTTGACTCCGAGATGCTGCTGTTATATGCTAGCATCAACTCCGGTAGGTTCTCGTCCCATTTGGTCTGTTCTTCCTCTGCCAACTCTGTTGTCATGGTTTTTACTGTGCGGTTCGTGCACTCCGTTGGGTTCTGCTGTGGTGTGCGGTGAACTGCTGTCGTATTCCCCAGAGCTCCATGGCCGTCTTGGTCTTCCTTCCGGTGAATTGCACCCCATTGTCTGATATTAGGTTTTTCGGCGCTCCAATCCTTGCTATGACTTTTCCCGAAATACCTTCAGAAACGTGTCTGCCGTTGCCTGTCGCACCGCCGTTAGCTCCACCCATTTTGAGAACTTATACGCCATTACTACTAGTATAGTGTTTCGTGCTTTGTCCTTGGTAGTGGGCCACAAATCCACCACAGGTTTCCTGGGGCGTCGGCACATCTTTCCCGCCGCCTTTGCGATACCCTGACATGTCTCACATGCCTTGAAGAAATTTAAGACATCCTTCTTCATACCTGGCCAGAAATACTGCTTTGTGACCCTTTTGACTGTGTCAAATGTTCCCAGGTGGCCTGTCGTCACTCGACAATGGTTCTCCCGCAACACCGCTTGTACTTCTTTTTTGGCGATCCACAGCTTCCAGGGGTTAGGGTCTCTTTCCTTGGTGCCCCGTTTATATAGTCGACTGCCTTCGAACCTGTATTCCTCGTTTCCTGGGTCCCTTCGACATTCCTCGTATTTTTCCTCCAGCCATTTCTGCCCTGCTTTTGCCACTTTTATCTCAATAGGCGGCGCGCGTGATAATGCGTCTGCCACGGCGTTCAGTTTTCCCTTTGCGGTATCTTGCCTCAAACTGAAATGGTTGTAAGCCTAGTGCCCATCTTGCCACTCTACCTGAGGGACTTTTGATCGAATTTATCCATCTAAGTCCTGATGATTGGTTCCGACTATGAACTT